ATAGAAAATTCTGAAGACCTTATATAAAAAATAATATTATATTATGACTTCCCTCAGAGAGCTCTGGTCATACTTAATACTAATAGAAGCCAATATTCAACATTTTACAAAAATAATCATTCTATTTACAAAAACAAATGCATCGATATTTCATTTTCTTCTACATCGCAAAATGAACTAAACTAACATTCTTTTCTCAGAAGAAGAGCGCCCTCTAACAGCGATACAAAGCTAACCTAACGGAGTTTGGGTTTTCAACAGACCTAGCTCCAATTAAATGGAAGTCATTCCTCCCACAGCTGCGTGGTGGGGTGGATGGTGGGAGAGGCTCATTCGCAGTGTGAAATATGTGAAGCTGAAGCTATAATGAATAACCGACCTCTTACATGTATTTCAGAAGAATCTGATAAATTCAGTCCATCATCTTTTATTCAAGACATCCAAGAAATTGCGGTACCTGATCTAGAGAAAATTAATTCCCAGAAACTTCGAGAAAGGTACCGGAAATGCAAAAATATAAAAGATCAATTAAGAAATAGATTTCGAAAAGAATATTTGGTAAATCTGGTTCAAAAATCAAGACAAAAGGCTCAAGTTATCCAGACGGGTGATGTAGTACTAACTGAACTAGACAACCGAAAAAGACTTAATTGGCCAATAGGCAAAGTCACAAAGTTGTTTCCAAGTGGAGATGGTTGTACACGTGTGGCAGACGCAAAAACCTCTTCAGGAACTTTTGTACGACCGATTTGTAAACTTTACCATCTGGAAATATCTAAGGACGATGATCCAATAATCCAGTTGACGAACTGTATGAACATTTTCAGAACTCAATTTTAGAACTTTAATTTTTTATTGTTTGAAATTTTTATAGATATTGGTTTTATTTCTTTATATTATTTTTGAGTAATGATGTAAATTTAATTTAATGCTTAATTTCTGGCTTCCACCATAAATTAAAGGTGGAAGTATGTTAGATGTTCATTTTAAAATATGTCTTTCCTTCACCAGATGGCGTCAGGAGTTCCACTAGTGAGAAATTTTAAAACTTGTTCTTTTTTCTATTTTGTAAATAGTAGAGAACTTCGGTTTCGAATCCGTGTGATGGACGGATAAATTTATTCGTTCAGCCACGAGAGAAAAAGAGAGGCTGTACAAGAAAACGTATTTAGATATTAATTTTTCCTTTTGAATGTTTTATGTAAATAAAATTTGATGTCAAGAAAAGAATTAAGTTTTTCTGTAAAGAAAATTCTTCTTGCCAACTGAAACATCACGGTTAATTTCACCGATGCATCAGAAAAGGTAAATGAATTTTGTTCTTGATTTTTAATTCGGTTTAATAAAATAGAATCTGCATACGTTAGTGGATGCTGACAACTTCGATCAACAGTAGTTGATAAGCAAAATAATAGAAGTTACGCCACTTTAAGCAGCGATAAATACAAAATCAGCTCACGCTACAAAGCTACAGTATCTGCCCACTCTCTCTCACTTTCCCTTCTAAAGCTCATTATTTAACCTACTGGTAGAATCTGAATTCCTTTACGTGCGCTACCAAGTTTAAATATTTTGGATTGACAATTAGGGAAATGAAGGCTTATAGGAAAGAAAGCGTAAACTTAACTGGTTAGTCAAAAATAAATATAAATCCCTACAAGTTAAAAAAAATGTTGTGATCTTGTTTTCTTAAATTTAGGACACTGTTTTTTTTTATTTTCATTTATGTATCTTTATACTTTATTTGCTGCTAAATTAGTGCATTTGATTTATTGAATTTTGCTTATCGCACGTGTGCTGTGCATATACTTACTGAAAACTGATGTACCGGCAGTACCCTTTCAGAACACTGCCAAGATCATCGACAGCGGATAAAGTGACTCATCTCTCTTTTCAGTTTCACAATTCACTCCTTGAGAGTCCAAACAAGAACTCATCACTTTCATCATTCCCCACACTGAGACTACCTGAGGTTACAGGACAGAGATATCCGAGCTAGCTGATGCCTGTATAATAATTGAGTATCCGAGTATTCATGCTTGTGCTTGCAGCAACTCTCTTTGCTTTCTCCTTCCTCCGTTCTCTAGTCGGAGGATTCCACCTCTTCCGCTCTTCACCTTAACTCTTCATCAAGCTCTCTAATGTGTTATTAGTTATATTAATTCATCAAACGGGAAGCGTTTCGTTCCATTCATCGATAATCCAGTTGTTTTCCTAATGAGTAGAAGGTTATGAATTCCAGCGTTCAGAGTTAATCTCTTTCTTCTTTTTCTTTCTAAAATCAGTTGCATTTGACTATGTATTGTGAATATCTTAACCGAACTGAAGAAGGATGGGGAAGGGGGAGAAACAATAGGCCATATTTTAAAGACAAATGAGGAATCCCTTAACTGTATTTGTCTTTGGAACATGGTTTCAGAAGTAGTCTCATGGCGACCACTTCTGAAAGTGATCAGTGTTTCTGAGAATGTAAACAACCATTGGACTGAACAACATTTCTATGAAACGTAACCTCTATGAAACAACCTCTATGAAACGTAACCACAGAAGATTAAAGTAATATGGAGTCATGGGTGATCACCCACCTTAGATAGGGCTAAATATATTGGACTGGATACGGTTAAGTTTTTTTTTTAAACAAATTCTTCGGGTTGTTTTTTCGAAAAATATAAGTGCCTCTAAAATATTTAAGGAACACTCTATGTTTCGGAAAGCTGGGAAATTTCTTTTGATAAGCCGAAAAGACATCGCAGAACTTTTGATTTTAATGTTTCTAACTATACTGTAGAGACATTAGGTTAATTGGAAAAGCCGGAGAGATAAAAAATTAGCAATCGCCTTCTCAAGAAATCGAACCACGGACCTCTGGAATACCGTCCCAGCGTGCAGAACCACTACACCACGAAGGCACTCTAGAAAGACGGCAGAAATACCTTATATACTCCCCTTTTAAAGGGCGACTGAGGTTTCTAGGGGACCCAATTGCCAAATCCTGGGTGTGGAGAATCCTCATCCAACACCTTTTTTAGTTCGGGCGCCACTGTAGTGACATTAGGTTAATTGGAAAAGCCGGAGAGATGAAAAATGAGGAATCGAATCACGAATCGTAGCCAAGAATCGAACCACGGACCTCTGGAATACCGGCCCAGCGTGCAGAACCACTACACCACGAAGGCACGCTAGGAAGGCGGGAGAAATACCTTATAATACCAAAAATATCGAAATGGATTTCGCATCACATCGATAGTACGTGCTATTCCTCAAATGATGTAATACTGACTATGGGACACATCGAATATTTTTTACTGTTTTTCTTGTAATTAAAATAGTTTACAAAGTACTATCATAACTCCCCTATATCTTCGATAACCATAACGGCCAGGTTCTAAGGCATCCACAATAATCGCAGAGGATAGATACTATTACGGCAGCACTATTTATCAAAAAATTATTATTAGTTGGATCTCAAGGGATAAATGGATGGAAGGTGGAAATTCTACAACAGCAGTTCCCCCACCTCGTACTTTTCATTCTTATTCTGGTCTTTCGTTCAATATTCCTCACTTTAGATAATCAAGTAGCGGAGGTCAAGTCATACTTACATAGCCAACAGGCTGATGAGCAATTAACCCAGTGGACCAGCTGTTCTATCGATGGCGAAAAGAAAAGAAAAACAAAGTGACAAACATAATGTAGCTAACTCATGACTGTATCTACCACTATGCAATAGGTGTATCTGAATACTTCTTCTATCGAACGCTAATAATGTTTACTAATGAAACGTTTTGTAACCTGAAAAGAATTTTAAAATATAGTTACTCAGCTTATAAAACTACATACCTTTTAGAATAGAGGGTAAAATTTCAAGATAGCATGACCAATATAAGAGTCTTCTAAAGCGTATAATTAATAATAATCTTATAAATAATATGAAATCGGAGAACCTGAGGAATTTAATCTGAAACATAGAATATATATTCTAAAGCATGTCTTTTGATTTTACGAAAATATCAGTAAAAGTGTAAATCATAAGCATAGTGCAATAACATTTCTTAACCGGAAGAAAGAATTCCTGACATATAGGGTTTTCAGATCGTTTTCCCAACAGGGTAGCATGGGAGTAACTGCATAATTTTATAATAAGTGCAAGGAAATGAAATCTCAGTTTACAAATCCTCAGTATAGCATCTCTGCAAACAAACCTTAAGTAAAAGTAGGTCTCTAGTAAAGAATTGCCTTGATAAGAATATGAATACAAAATGCCAGTTAGAACAAAATTTATTCCATGGGATTACATTGGATATTAATAATGTGGCTGAGGTAAAAGTCCTTAAAAAATATCAGTTTCTCACTTTCAGTTTGGGTGTGAATTCACTGTAATGGTTACTAATATGCCTGAAAAGATATGTAATAATGTACCATCAACATTTTCTAATTTTCCATTCTGAATTATAGTAAAATAATGCATTTAATTAAGTAATTGTATGTTGTAAGTATTGTAATTGTGCATTGCATATTGTAACCATAGTATCTAATTGCCTTTCATTCTACTCAGAAACAAATGAACTCTAATAAGGACAGAGCTCTCGTCAAATATTCATCTACATTTTTAACTTCCTAAAATTTATCCTAAAATGTAAGAGAACCTTATTTTCGAGTAAATATGGTAATTTATTCCCAAAATGTGGTATTCAGGGGTGGAAAAAACAACCTTTTTGTTTTAATTCTGGGAGTACTTTTTCACAGCTACAGAAAATATAAAAGCTACAATTGTATTTTAAATGTTGATACAATGAAAGAGAAAAAACAATGAAAAAATTAAAAAAGAATCGGTTGCTAAATCCGAAACATACAGATAAAATGAAGATTGTAAGAGTTAAAAAAAAAGTTGTAATTGTAGTGCATTTGATATGAGCTTATCACCACGAAAATTGAAGTACTACAGAGTACTGAGATAAGTTTAGTTTAGGTTTCCAAAATAAATGTAGTATAAGGTGATTTTCTCGGTATTAGATCCAAGAAAATGTTAATATGCAGCAAGCTATAAGATATACGTGTATGAAATTTGCGTCACAGGATCGTGGGGATTAAAAGAGAAGAAAGCCCTGACGTCCTCATCGTACCGACTTTGGTCGACAGTATGAATGAAATCAAAGGTATGAATCAAATCTTTTTAAGGCCGGATTATTTCGAAAAGCTTATGGGCGCTAAAATCTCTAAAGACAATTTTTATAGAATCGCTTAAAGGGAAAAACATATGGTAACAAACTGGGTACCATACAGGAATTAGAAAATAGCATTTAAAGCGAAATTGCAGTGATTAATGACGACGACTTGCAGACCACTTTCGTAAATGTAAAGCCTCACTTTTGGCTATACCTGAGCAGTGGATGTAAGCAAACACTTCCAGCATCTCTTCTAGTATCGATATTCATTCCATGGTACAACGCATTTAATACAGGCATGTTCAAAATTAAATGAATATTTTTTTATATATTGGCATTTTCTTTGGTCTAATACCGAAAGAAACATACAAATGAGCATAAAAACTCCGTATGCATAAAATATATTTAAAATTGCAATTATATTTATCAAAATAAATATATAAAACATACATTTATGTAAATATAACTCTCGTCTAAAGTTACGTAAATAGCGTTCAAGTTAGAAATACTGTAAGAGATGCATATGATGCTAGGACTCCAGCTTTAAAAGTGAGTTTTATATTTGCTTCTTTCCTGCTTTTTGCTATTTAAACTTTTAATAAAATTTAAGGTCAGAAATCAATATTGAGCTAGAAAAATGCAATAGTTATTATTTTTAAAAACAAATACGTATTTATACTTCAATAAAGAAGGAATTTTACGTCATTTCGCATACAACTCTTTCCTGAAAGGTCGCTTATGAACGTGTGTATAAATACAAAGTGAAATGTATTTAAATGTTTTTAAGGAGGATATCTGATATCGATTTTGATTTAATCACTATCAAAGAATTTTCTTAGTATCAACAAAAGAATAAATTGTTTAATTTTATGCCATTTCTCATTCTTTGCTGCAGCGGCATTTTATTTATGTATCTTTATCTCCTAAATATTGATTTTTTTCTTAGGCTTATCAAGGTGTTTTGCTTTTATTGCCATTAGAAACATACATTCATTTTTGAAAGTACTACTTGAGAAACGAGTTGGAAATATATTATTGAAAAGAACCCGGATAACATTTCCTATTTTGTTAGTGATGCCTTTATGGTATCCTTTGCAACTGAAACTTGCTTGTACCAATATTTGAGTTTCTTTATTTAGTCAAATACGGCAAAATGTTTTAGGATTATGTACCTAATGGAACAATGTCTTCATAGGGGATTTAGATAAAATACCTCATATTCGCCTCAAATGTTGAAAGAACCAAGAGAACACATTTGCAGCCAGCGCAGGATTCGAACCCAGATCAAGCCCTTAGAATTCAGTCCAAGAGGTCAAACTACCACTCGGTTATTTATTCACTCAACTATTTATGATATGCCGGAGAAACTAATAAAGTTTTCCTTACAGTCAATTCGTTTTGCCTAAGGAAATTGAAACCTAAACATACTTATATTTAGATCGCATTATTTATTCAATTCTTGGTGTGCACAACAATTAAAAAAAAGATTTGATAGAAATAAAAGCTTTAAAAGGGGGACTGAAATTCTTAGAACTTGTAGGATTATTATTGCTTGAAACTAACTAGTTATTATCATCTAGATCTTTACTATAACTTTTTCTTTCTGTTTCCTCACCAAAATGGAAATCAGTTGGAGAGTATTTAAGCTGAGGATTTTGGATTACAAGACAGAAAGTGATTTTGTTCCTCGTAGTAATGTTACTTTAGTTCTGCCATCTTTGATAATTATTCGGCTTTGCATTATTGCTTCTGACTTGTGAATTGTTACTCCGGTTAGAGTTTTCAGTAAACTTGTAGAGACATCAGGTATTTTTTGGAAGCAGGCAAGGTGAAAAATGAGCAATCGCCTTCTGCAGGAATCGAACCACGGACTTCTGGAATACCGGCCCAGCGTGCAGAACCACTACACCACGAAGGCACGCTAGGAAGGCTAGATTAATATCTTATATACTCCGTTTTTTTAAAAGGCGACTGTGGTTTATAGGGGACCCAATCGCTAAACCCTGAGTGTGGAGAGTCATCTTCCACAACCCTTTTAGTTCGAGCGCCAATGTAGAGACTTTAGGTACTTTTTGGAAGCAGGAGAATTGAAAAATTAGCTACGCCTTCGCCGGGAATTGAACCACGGACCTCTCGAATACCAGCTCAGTATGCTGACCACTACACCACGAAGGCACGCTAGGAAAAAGGGAGGAATACCTTATGTACTCCCCTTTTAAAGGGCGACTGGGGTTTTTTAGGGGACTCAATCGCCAAATCCTGGGTGAGAAGAATCATCATCCAACACCATTTTTCAGTTCGGGCGCCACTGTAGAGACATTAGAATTTTTTTTGGAAGCCGGAGAGATGAAAAATTAGCAACGCCTTCGCCTGGAATTGAACCACGGACCTCTGAAATACCGGCTCAGTGTGCTGACCACTACACCCCGAGGGCATGCTAGGAAGGCGGGAGAAATACCTTATAAACTTTGATTCAAATTTAATTGTGTAGTCTTTGAATATTAGCGTACACTTTAGTTTAAATTTGACTATTATTTTAGTTACAACGCCACAAGTGGTGATCGTTTCTGTTAACATAAAAAGGATGTTTTGGTTCAAAGTTTGTGTTTGAATAAAAAGGTTTATTTTAAGCTTTGTAGTTGATTTCAGACACAGCGATAATTCGCTTAACGTCTGTTAGGGCTAGTTTATGCTTCCAAAGTAAGTCTATAAACTTAATGTTAAAAAAATATTTTATCAGGGTATGTTAACATTAGTTATAAATTTATCCTGTAGAAAGTTTTTCTATTAAATGAAGTTAGTTTTCCATGTACCATCAACTGCTCATCTTACTTTAACAAAATTAATTCGAATGTATTAATAAAATTTTATGTATTGAATCAAGAGAAGAATAATTTGAATACTGTGATTTTATATAAAATTTCAAAGAGGTAAAATAATTAAGTTTTAGATTTATGTTTATATGCTCTTATATATTTCATTGTTTAATATAATATACAAAGGAATATAATTTCAGTTTTTAAATATAGATGCAAATACAGTGAGAAAATAATGGACAATTTTTTTAAGTTTTAACCATTGCTCTTTACCTAGAAATGTAGTTGCTTAAAATGCCAGTGTGCTGATTTAACGATCATCCATATTCGCGTTTCTCCATGAACTTGGTTTCGTTTGCATTGATTATACCCGTAAATCTCAACCAAGTTTACTCATTTTGTTATATAATTGTTTTAGAAACAAGTATCATGTGCAAACTTTCGATTATTCTTTTTAAATTGCTATTATAGACATGTAGAAATATTATGGAAATTGTTAAAAAGAAGTTGAAATAGAACTAAGCAGTCTTTTTCTGGCTTAATTTTAAATTTTACATTGGGATGTTTCTCTTCCAATATAAAATTCATTACTAATCACAAATATCGTTTATAGTAATATCAAATGAAAATCAGCTGACTATATGTAAGCATAATTATAGGATACTTGATTTAAATATAATGCTGTAATTTTCCCATTATATCCGTTAGTGCTGAAGTTGATTCAATGAATATCAGGTATTTAATATTTAAAGATAGAATCTTTTAACAAAGTGAAGAATTTTTCAGTAGCTTTACTAATAACAGTTTTGCGTTATCGGTTAAGAATAAGGATTAATATTTTATAAAATCAATTAATTTTTGCTTTTATAAATTTAATTTTTATGTGATGCAATACAGGTTTCTTAAAGATAGTTTGACAGTATTCTGATATCTTGTTTTTAGTTTCAAAAGTTATTTCTGAAAGGTTTTGATAATATTTTATTTCAGTTTCGGTTAACTTGAATTTCTTAAATTCGTCATTCAAGAACGAAAAGTTATCAAATCGCGGGAGGTAGAGTGTCATGATTGGCAGAAAATGTGTCAATCAAATGAGAGAAGTTTCAGGTCCTAGAAGGTAAAATAATCGTGATTGGTTAACAATGCATCATAATATCTGATAATTTTACTTTACGTTTACCTTTTTAGGTTTACTTTTTCAAATGATCATTTTTAAGCGCTTGCGACTGTATTAGATGTGTTACAAATCCAGGTGAAGTTAATGTTTTGTGATTTATATTAAGCACATAAATGACTCAGTAAATTATACATTAGGTATGTTTGAATTTTTTGTTTAATAGCTATTATTTTGAGCAATGGGGATAATTACAGTTCTTAAAAACTTAACTTTAAAATTTTTAAATATAGTAATGAAAATCTTGACAGATATTAGTCTGTAATATTTCTTTGACCATTCTAAATAATTCTTTAAAATTTGTTGTAAAATTCTTTAATACTCTTAAGATTCTAAGTAATGATACTTAAGCATGTATTGAAATTTCTGCTTTCTTTTTCAGAGAATAGAATTAATGTATATTACATTAGTACATTCTAATTTATCTGTCTAACGTATTATGTTTGGAAGTTGAACAAAATGCTTTCTTTTTAAAATATTAAATTAACAGTAAAATTATTTATGTTTTTATAATTAACTAGATTAAATAAAGTTGTGTTTTTTATAAAATATTTCTGATTTATTTTGGATTTAAATTAAATATTTTTATTTTCGGACATGACTGAATAATATTAATTTGCTATCTTGAGAAAAAGCACAGAGAATACTTTCAACGCTAAAGGCTGTAATTTATATATTTTACCTTTAAATATTTTTATTTGCCCAATGTACATTTAATATTAATAAATTATTGCGCATTTGAACTAAAATAAAGAAATGAAAGGAAAATTTAATTAATTAATGCAATTGATTTGGTTTATATAGTCAATTAAAAATAAATCTTGTTCTTTTTAAAAGCCTAACTTAAACTGAGTATTCAAATTAGCACTTAAGCTGGCAACATTTAAGGAAGTTAAAATTATGTCATGCGTAGAAAAATAAATTTTACGTTATAACATTTATTAATAGAAAGCAAACATTTATTCTTACTTTAACTATCACTAAAAACAAAAACTAAATCAAAAGAAAAATTTCTGTAACGTCTTTTTATTATTATGAAATTAGTATCATTAAAAAATATAAAAATTTGAGTTATAGTAGCATTTTATATTTCAGTACTCAGCTGTTTAAGTTAAACACAAATTCTGATAGTTTTAAAAATGTCATACTTAAGAAAGGATGGTTTTAATTTTGGTTGTTATGAGCTTAAAGAAATTTTAACGATAATTTTGATAATGAAGCAAATTTATATAATAATTGTTAAGAAAATGATGAGACTCGTAACGATTAAAGTGAATTTATTTATAGTGATAAAAGCAATAAATATGAAAACAACATATGTAGCTTAAAATATTGGTGCACCTCATTCTGGAGGTTAATGCAGTAAATGGTCAATATATTCAAAAACGCTTATCTATTTTAAACTTTGAATTACGTATTCTTTTTACTCTTTCTCATAAAAAAAGCCCTGCTAATGGCTGAGTTGTTAAGATCCCTCAATACTGGTAGTTCACGCCATCTTAAAACTCAGGCGAACATGCGTGGGTGTTTCTTGTGGTTGTGTCTATGTATAAGATGAATAAGAGCCTTAGAAAGTTCTTCGCGAAGGCATACCGTCCCTTAGACGGATGATCCTCTTGCGCCTTGTTATATTCTAAAAGTCTAATAACCTAACCTTTTGCATGTAAATAATGAAATCGGACGTTTAAAATCTGATCTGTTATGTTCATTTTTTTAACGAACATAGACGAAAATATTATTTAATAAGAATTTAAGCTTTATTACGTAAACCACAGTTTGTTGTGTAGATTTAATACTATGTGGAATTAATTCTACATCTTCTAAATTCATAATTATGACAGCAAAACTTTTTTTATTTCCGTATTACTTCATTGTTCTACGCAGCATATTTTTTATCAGATTTATCAATAAGCATTCTTCTGTACAGTTGGTCACCATCATACGCATAAACACTCTGAATGCAATCTCTGCATTCAAGAAAACATATCTCAAATTCTACAAAATTATTTTTCAATGGAGTACAGGAAGAGTCTCACAATGTTCATATAGGCAATATGGTGTTGGAGATGCTCACAATTATTTAAAAGATCCTCATAGTTTAAGTCTTTGTGATGTACTTTAGTCATCTGTTTATTTTTGTCTTTAAGAATCACCAGAAAGAACGGTTTTCAATTCAGGGCAGAAGGGAAATATATTTCAAAACTGTGAATAAACGTCTATACATTTTATTAGTTCAAAAATTAGTTTCCAAAATAGAGAGGAAAATTTCTCCCTTGAACTATTCAGTTTTATTGAGAAATACCACTTTGATCCCCCATATCTACTAAGACACACTCTTCGTTGTCATTTTCGTTTCTTTTTCCCCCATCACTGTAAATCTGTATCTGGACACATACTCTTGGCTTTGAATTCCTAATCATTAAATTTATGTCTAGTGTCCTGGAGACAGGCTTTTCAAACACTCAAAAAGATTCATGGCAGTACAGATGATCACATCCTTTGATGACAGGACTTGTTTGTTTTCTTCATTCTTTCGAGTATCTAATTCCAAAGAATTGTGGGAAATATTGTTTCCAAATTATCCATTTTTTAGCTCAAATCCCTCTGCCTCTTGGCTTGTATAATATAGTTCTTCATCATCAGCTGATAGAGAATCCAGAGTATGCTTTATTTTCTCGAAACAGAGCATACACAACATCAAAATGTCCTGACATGTGTGACACAAACACTTGACCACAAAATGTTTTCCTAAAGATGGGGTGAATGCATTCCACCGATGAGTAAAACCAGCAGAAATAGAGTGCCGACGACAACAAAGTCAAATATTTTATAGACTGTACACTAAAAAAATTTATTATTGGGAAGTCGATTGATCTATGCAGATTAACCTGGGAAACATGCTCGTTGTTATGCTCGTCAGTGCTCAGCGAGTCCATGCATTAAAACAAATTAGTGCCTTTTCCGCGATTCCTCTTTCCGCGTTTTTCAAAATCAATTCCTGTAAAAACGGAGAGTACAGTCTCCCACTCACAACTCCTCAGGAGATGTCACGATGAGACATTAAGAACTGGGCAGTTTCTCTGTGAATAAGCTAGTCTTCATTAGACTGAAGACAGGCTTTTCAAAGAATGAAGACAGGCTTTTTCACTGAAGACGTATTTTAGTTTAGGCTCCTTTCGAAATTTTTCATGTCATTCCATTTGTAACTCTGCTACAATATTAGCTGTCATTTTCACATCTTATGTTAATCAATGCGGATGTTTTAGACGTTATTGGAACTAGAAGGGGAAAAAAACCTTTAGCCCTTTATAAAGGTTATCAGTAACGAATTCAGAATAAAAATAAGGAAAATGTAGTTTATTGCATTTGCATAACTGAAAGAATTAAAAGCTTCAAAGGCGCAATTAAAACCAAAGCAGAAGTTGTTTTAGAAGAACGAACTTCATTATAGAACGAATTTTTATTCTGAAAGATTTTGTTATAACTCAACCTTTATGCAGAATTTTGGAAGAATATTGTTTTTTACTTTGGGAAACAATCTTTCAGTTCCATTGCCAAAAATCATCGCCTAGTTTGAACATCTCTCTCTTTCCTTTTAAATACAGTATTAGCTTCATTCATGCAAAGATCTGAGATCGTAAATATTTTTCAATTACTTCTTTTAAAAATTAGTCGTTTCAAATCTAAAAATTTTTTGCTTTCCTACATTTCGGGAGAGGCCAAGGTCCCCTCGAAACTCCACTATGTAACCCCTTTGGGAATGGGGGGTAACGAAGATTGATGATTTACAGGAAATAGGAATCGCGGAAAAGGTAGACACGGTTAAAAAGTCACTGATTTGGAGAACCTGCTAATCGTGCAAGATATGAGATTATTATAACATAAATAATATCCTATGCATTAATTTTTTTTAAAAACTTTTTGTGATTTGAGCCACAATTTTAAGCATAGCACCTGCTTCAGTATTTTGCTAGGTGTTTTATATTAAATGGAATTCGTTATTTACGTTCCACACAAAATTGTGAACATTTTGGGAAGGAAAATGCACTTATTTTTTAAAAATATGTTCAGATGTTCTATATTTTATATTCTATTCTATATTTTATATTTTCAGGTGTACTCTGGGAGTTTATATAACTAATTTGCTAAGATATGGCAGAAAATACGCTAAAATTTGCTATTGTATTCAGAGCAAACATCACAAACGAAGATCACGTGAGAAAAAAAACAGAAGAATTTTTTGAAATATTTCATCGCATGAAAAACTTTAACTCCGAAACTAATATTTTAAAGCCAAGAAACATAGACACTGACCCAATTTATCAGGCAAAATTATATGAAATGGAAGTACATATTAAGATTTTAGACGATGAAGATCACTTTCAATCCGGAGATTATTGTACAAAAGTTTTTGAAGAATGGTGTAATGAACGTGACAACGTGTTATCTAAATCATGGTTAAGACTGATTAATTGCTCAGGTTTGGAAAAAAATTTCAAGCAGTTTCATTGTGATGTTAGAAGTAAAGAAATAGCTTTTGGTACGTTTCCTAATATGCAGCAGTTTGTGCAGCAATATCAATTTGCACCTGAAATAAATGATGGTGAAATAATAAGTACGTTTTTGCATGATCTGAAACAGTTTATCGTATATATTTACTGCAATCATGAAAACTGTAATAAATTCAGATTTGTCGTGGATTACAAGGCTATCGTTAAAGTTCTTGTTGATACGTCAAATGAAGAAAACATGCAGATTTTCTTCAATTTGCAACATATACCTGTAATTTATCGAGAAAAAAAGAAAGAAGATGATAAACAAAAGAGATGCATAGAAAATGAGATGTGTAGTGGAGAAAAAGCAGTATTTTTAGTAACTGATCAAGAATACCAGGAAAAATACTGGGAACGGACTCTTACATTCGGCTGTGAATTTAAGAATTCTGTTTGCCATTTATCTGAAATTGGTGGATGTTTAGTATTTAAAATTGTTTTCCCCGAAAAATTTATAGTAAATGATGTCATTGAACGTTTAATTCAGCGCTGCTCATCAAATACTCACTTTTATTATAGTCACATAAGGACGGTTGTCCCGAAAATCAAATATCCTAACATTCAAAACCTACCTTTTGGAAGTTTAAGAAGTGATTCAAAGAAAAATGCAGATTCAAATACTGCATTTAGTTGCCAGTTTGCATGGGAAGCTATTATTAGAAAATCGTTTGAAATCAGAGATCAACTTAACCTGAAACAGAATGAAACAGAAAGTGATCTGTTTCAACTAGATCTCGTAAAAAGGAGGCTGAACGCATATTTTAACTGTAATGCGGAAGCGTTAGTGAACAGTCTGTATCATATTAGTGAAATGATTGATAGACGCGACATTTTCACATTCTGTGATGCTTTAGCTGAACTTTTCGAATATTATTTGTGGGAAGAATCAAATGAATTGGAGTTACCAGAAGAAATGTGTTTAGTTAGACGTATGATTATTACCCCATCCAGGATTATGTTCTTGCAACCTTACGAGCATTTTAATAATCGAGTAATTCGAAAATATGAAGCAGACAACATGTTAAAAGTTTTAATTCAAGAGGATAATAGTTCGTCATTTACACCTGCCGTGCGTAATCATTCAGAAGCGAAAAAATTTATGGATGATGTAATGGGAAAAACTTTGAAAGAAGGGATATGGATTGGACCCAGGCATTATGAATTGTTGGCATCATCAAACAGCCAACTGAAAGAACATAGTGTTTGGATGTATGCCAAGGATGAAAAAGGAAATACTGCAGAATCAATCAGAAAATGGATGGGTGATTTTAGTCACATAAAAAGTGTAGCAAAGTATATGGCTCGGATGGGTCAATGCTTTTCAAGTTCTACCAAAGTTGTACCCAAGGAATTAGGTGCACATGATATAGTTTATATAAAAGATATAAAATCTGGTGATGGAAAGTATATTTTCTCAGATGGAGTTGGAATGATTTCTAAAGAACTGGCGATGGAGGTAAGATGAATGTCTCTTTTTATATTTTTCATTACTTTATTTGGTTAAATGGTTACTTTATTTGGTTCTCCTATATTTTTTTAATTTAAATCTACTAGCGAAATGTTTCAACTCAAAATGCTCAGCTAGCGAAAAGTTTTCAGTACGTACACATATGCTTTACAGAAGAAAGATTTCTTTTATTTTTTCTAAGGACATATTACGTCAGACATTAGGAAAGATTTAGGTTTTGAAGGAATTGTGTTTTCTTTCCCCTCGTTTTTTTTAATCTGATCTGCAATAGTGTTTTTTTACATTCATGTTATAACTAATCTCACTTGTCTCACCTCATCATCAGAATTTACATTCATAAATTTGAATGTTATTTACGCAGCAGTAATTTTTATTTTAATTGCAAAAATTATGTTGAAACTCTTTGTTGAAGTTTAACTTTGTTTTATTTTATACAAAATTTATTTTATTTGAATTGCACAATAACTTACACAGTAATTACTATACACCACTTGAAGTGTAGATGAGCCACGCATCAGTTTAAGCCTAACTTACTCCCCAGTTTCAAATAATATTACAACTACAAGAACTCTGGCTTGAATTTTCAACCCGAAACGTCATTTGGCTGTTCTTAACGTGAAAGATACCGAAACTGAAGCTACTTTCAGAAGTTTAATGCTTCACAATCTAACTTCTTACCACCTAGCCGTCAAATGACTAGAACCCCGTAATTAGTGTAATTCGCCTTGTATTCTACGCTTGAAGGTTGAATGGACTGGTTGAAGGCTGGGTAATGTATTCTTCATGTATGATATCATCATGACGTGTATCAGTTCTTCATGTATGATATGAATAGGATTAGTTTCTCTTATAAGGCATCTTTCTTCTTATGCAGATAGTCCTAGCGGGATTTGCCATAATTAAATAATACTATTGCTTACACATTTAAACAAACAGTTTTGTATTTAAAACAATATTAAATACTCAAATTATTCACTTGTAACTGCAAAATAGTCATTGCAAAAAGGCATGTAAGCAAAAGAATAAACAGAAATAACAAAAATTGTCACTGAGATTGAGAATCTTTGTATAGTTCTCTAAGGCAGCTGTCTCAGTCTGGCGGGCTGCATGCTGTCCAGGAATCAATTTCACACGGCCTACGGAGACGTTGTCCATTAATTAGCATTAGTATGACAAGAATTTGAAGCCAATTAATTAGCATTATTATGACAAGAATTTGAAGCCAATTAATTAGCATTATTATGACAAGAATTTGAAGAAATATTTTAAGATTTTAATGAACTGGAGGATATGGAAGTGCATATTTTCATTATCATTAAAAACAAACGTGAATAACATCCCAGAAAATCTGCAAACAGAACTAATTAATTTACATTGTGATATAAATCTTATTCAAAGATTTCAAGGTACAGATTTGATGACTTTTTTCGTACTTGTGAAAAGATAAATACATTCAGTTACGAATTTTTTCAGTAAAAATAATTGTTTTATTTAGGAGTACATTTAAATGTGAACAATGGTTGGTACTTTTCCGTTTTGCCGGCGCAGACGATAAAGTCGCCAATAATGGTACAACTGATGCCAAACGGAATATCCTCGCTGGTAACCTTTTACGCATCATTTTCAAAACAAATCGCAGCCATTCCTTATCAGACTGATTGTTTCTTTCAATACTGGCATACAATTACATAGAATTTTTATCAGATAGTTCAATTTTATGCTATAAGGGCCATTCGCGGTAATTAAGTCAGTTAGGATACAACCACACCGCTCACCCGAAGGCGAAATTATAGAAAAGGCAAAGTTAAGGGTTAAATTCATCAATTCTATAATGAGAATGCATTAGCGAAGTAAAGCACTACGGTTTTACATAATTTCTGAGTAAGCTATTCGTACGACTTGAAATAATTCTTGCATTCCAAATTAAGATTTAATTTGAAATTAATGTAGGTAATTACTAAGGGAATTAGGTTTTTGTAGCGTAGTTTACGCGAGATGAGATCACTTAGGGTCACGTGATATGAACCGGCGAATCAGAATGTTGAACCATGAAAGCATAGTAAATTCTTAAATTAATGTCTTTTTACAAATATATGATCTTTATTTATTGGCTTTTTACAAAATTTTAAACGATATTAAATGTTTATGCCTTCAAAATAAAAAATTCTCAGAACTAACATATTTTATGTGTATACTGTATGTTGTCTTGGCGAGATTTGCGCCGGCGAAACGGAAAAGTACCCAATGCTTTTTTCCTAGTTGAAAATTAATAAGAAAAGAACCATATTAGCCGATGAGAATTTAAAACTCTTGATGAAAATAGTTTCTAGTAATTTTCCTCTAAGGTTAAAACTTTATCAAAATTTTCTATCTAATGATGCTTATATTCTTCTGTTATTCATAGCGTGCTATTTCTGCTTTGAATATTGATATGATTTACGTAGCCGAGATTTTGTGTTAACTGCACACGTCATCCCCAGTATTACTTTGTCGCATCTACTCTTTTATTATGATTTAATTAATACATTTTGAACGGTAAAATATACGCACGATTTAAAAGATTACCCAACATATAATAATATACGATTATTATATGTTGGGTAATCTTTTAAACATACATACATATTTTTCATAGTCATAGATATATGAACATAGAAGAACTCTTAGTATTATTTAGCAAACTATTACATAGGAAGTTATTATATAAACCATCTGACACAAGATTCCGTTTTTTTTAAGAAGTTTCTAATTATTTAAATGTAACTGAATATACTTTTTCTGCATGCGTAAAAGTAATAAAAAAGGGGGGAAGTCTGAAAACTTTCAGATTTTACAATTACGCCCAAAGAAGCGTTTTCTCAACGTTTTGTGTGTTACCTTTATTTATTAAATATCATGTTCTTCGTATTTATTTCCGATACACAGTTTCGCGCACTAGAGATAATTTTTTTCCCATGCAGTGCTGCCATTGCTCGCTTTGAAATCGTTGAGTTTGTTAATCAAAAACTCGTTAAAATGTTACAAAATACGAAATCAATAATAAAAAAAATTACAAATTAGGGTTTCCAGATGCCCATATTCGGTGGAGGATTGATTAATAATTTGATGGCTCTAGGTACCGTTGTTGTATCACAATGAGAGAAACATACATACATTTATACAGATTCTTCATTATTTAATTTCTTTAAATATGACACAGGTGATAATATTGTTGGCAATAATTTGAAAATTCAACGGACATTTAAAGTGAATCAACGCAACATGCCAAAACGAAATTAAAAGTCCTTCTCGGGCAAATTGCCCTTTTGGACTAAAAATGGGAAAATAAGAGACTGAGACTAGTTTTTCATTATTTATTCTCAAGCTTTATTCTACTTGGAAATTGTTCGTAATTTGTTTATTTTCTGTTTATTTTCTGTTTATTTTAATTTTAAGTCAGAAATAATTTATTTAGTGTTAATAAAACAAATTAGAATTGCTTGAAACAAAGGTAAGTGTGAAAATTTAACATTTACCAGTCAATACGTTTAAATTATAAAGTATAACCGACAGAAATCTTTCAGAGCTTTAGATCTCGGCCAGAAAATAAATATAAATCATAATTTTTCCTTTGCATCAATATTATTATTGTTTATGTATATTTTGATAAATATTTAGTAAATAAAAGATTTAAGGAAAAAATATGTGTTTTCTTTAAAAAAGGTTTTGCATTAAAAAAAATGAAACTGGCAGCTGCTTTTGGATCCTGCATTTGGCCCGCATGCAATCTGAGTTGCAGACCACTGTTCTGCGCTAAGTGGCGTGCCGTTAATAGACTAGAGGGCCTAAGCTGGTCCCCTAATCTTTTAACATATTTAAACAAATATTTATCTAGCATACCAAAATTGCTATAAGGAATATCTTTTTAACCCTTCAGGAAATGCTCGTCTTTTTCCTAATTTTGATAAGCTGAATTAACTTTTAGTGTTACATTTATTAGTGTTATATTTATTTAGTGATATATTTTTTAGTGTTATATTTATTTAAAGTTTAAGAAAACATTCTTGTGATATTTGAAAGTATTCGGATCAAAGTATATCGATGTAGTAATTCCGAATTTTAAATTTGGAGAGGGAAGTGAAATAAAAATAGTTCCTACACAAATAAAGGCATTATAAAGCATACGTGAGCAAACTAAGAAGTCGCTTTTGGCAGCCCGTTAATCAGCTGTCTATATCACAATTCTATGGTCTTGTGGCCTATTAACGATGTCTTTTAGTGTATTATATTTCCGAAACAAATAAAAATAAATCACAAATGTTAGGTCTACAATATGTGCTCTCATTTACCTAAACATGAAACATTATACCTGTCGTTCCAAAGTTCAGAGAATTAATGATATACGAACAAAGAAATAGTTTGTTTTCTTGCTGTGTTCTTTTTGAGATAGAAATGCTTTTAAATAATTAATTATTATTTTATACCAACCATCAGTTTAAAAATTTATTTATTTATTATGGCAGGATCACTTTGATTTACTTTCCTTGTCTAATTTTCAAATATTTCTCAAAGATAATTATTTATTATTGTACGCGTGAATTTTCGTATTTTAAATACAGTAAACCGTATCACGGTCATTGTCTTCCTAACACCATTACTTCTGAAACGTTTCAGTATTTCTGAGAACATAAATAAACTCTGAATCTTACCTCTATAAGGCCACCAACTTCGGAAAAAAAAATCATCTGGAACTGTAGGTAGTTACTCTAGACAGAATTACAATTTTTGTGAAAACCATGGCAGGCCATTGGTTCTCTTGTTTATCATCACCTTTCATATATATTTCCCGATAAAATCAAGAAATTTTGAAACACATCCAGTTAGATCATATCAATGAAATGAAAGACATCTACTTAAGAGTAATATTCACATCAAATGCAGTTTCTTAAGATATCTGCTTTTGTCTGATACTCACATAAAACACACAGTGTTTGATCCAAAGTAGATTTTATATGTCAGAGATGTTTTGGCAAGGTATAAGCAGTGTATAAAGGGAAACAAATGCTAGAAGTACAAAAGTGTTATAGAGGTTACGTCCAAAATTTTTGTGCAATTTTTGGATGATATTCGAGAATGATCACACTGAAGTTGCAGAACAGTTGGAGAGAGTTTAAGTACAAATTTGATGTTTATCAAACTACTAAAGGAGCGCGTCTGGACATCTGTTGTTTTGTGAGAAAAGTACTGTTGTGTGTATGTGTGCGTATGCGCATGCGTGTTGGTGACGAAAAGAGATACGGGTCACCCCCCCCCGAAAAACAAACCGAATGATGTTATTACTAATTGCAACTTGTTTTCCGTGAATGATTTCTTATTAAAAGCTATTTATTTAAGCATCCAGTTAACATTAACACGAAGTGGCCAAAATATTAGAAATACCCATTTTTTTTATTATGGACTCCTCTGTGAGTGACGCACAATGATGTAGTGCCATATAACATTCACTCATCTTGAGACAAAAATAGTTATCACTACGGTAGCATGAAAGTGGAAAAGACAAAGAATGACTTTGAATGACGCATGATCGTAGATGTAAGAAGACTAGGTTCCAATATTTCTGAAACAGCTGATGTTCTAGGCTATTTTCAACCAGCAGTATCTCGGGTGTTTACAGAATGGCAGTTGAGCAGAAAGATTCAGTTAATATAAACCATTCTGGTCTGAAAATGCCCGTGAACGAAACAGATAAAAGGCGGCTAACAAGAATAGGTCAGCAGCAGCAGAAGTTCGACAAACGAAACGACAAACTGCATCTCAGTACAATTACAATTCATACGAATCACAAAGCATATCTGAACGAGTAAAAAGCGGTCTTTGAAACGGAAGAATTTTAGCCGCAGTAGACCGTTACGGATGCCATTCTTGTTTTTGGTGAACAAGAAATCACGACTGCTATGGGCCCAAGGGTAAAGAAACTTGATTATTAAAAACATTTATTGTTCCAATGAAAATCTTTTCTGCTCCATCAGGTGACAGTGTCAGAATATGATGAAAACATCTAACATACTTAGACAACACTTTCTTGATGGCAGATCTTCAGACTGGTTGCAATGGAGTTACAGACAGGAGAATATTTTCCTTGGAGTTCGTTGGATACCTTTCTATGTCTGAAAACGGCTCTTAGCACCATAACGTACCTCAGTATCATTCCCGATCATGTGAACTCGTTTATGGCTGCAATTTTCTCTGACGCAGATACTTATTTTGAGCATGAGAATACCCATTACTACCGTACACGATTGATATGAAATATGTCGCAAGAGAACTTCAAAGCTTAGAAACTCCACTATCCAATATGAATAAATTTAGAGCTTTCATTATGCCAGTTTGACATAACATTCCCCAGAAAAAATATCAGCACCTTTTTTAATGTATGCCTAGAAGAATATAGGTTATTATCAAAACTAAAGGTGGATTAACGCGTCGTTAGGAAATGTCTCCAGTAATTTGGTCACTCAGAGTATATTCATGAAGCCTTTATAAATGTCACTTATTTTCTAATTGTTCAGCGCATTTTTATATCAGCTCTATTTATTAACTTTTTATTAATTTTATTAATTAATTTTCCTTTTCGTTTCAAGGTGAGGAAGGTTTTCCAAGAAAAACCATCTCAGAGACGGGAAAACTTAGAATCTCTCTATCAGGCTTCAGCATTTCAAATACGCTTCAAAGGCTGCAAAGGAATGATAACCGAGACACCTTCTTTACCAGGTCGGCAACTGAGAATACGACCTAGTATGGAAAAATTCAAATGTGAAAGCTCAAGCCATTTAGAAATCATAAAGCAAAGTGCGCCACGTATGTTAATATTTTGTATTTATACTTACTACTCTAATATACTAAGATGATTTTTCAGAATCATGTTAACTCTTTTGAAAGGTACTATCATTACCTCAACAGGAAATGAAATATAATAAATCGATATGAATTTTAAATTTATAAATGGGTTTGTTCCTAATTAAGTACTAAATTTCCGGTAATTCGCAATATGGATTAGATCTTGATTATTAATTTCACTTCCTATCTAAATAAAACATCTTCATGTTGAGAAACGCACTTCTTCATATACATAAATATTTATAGTTAATAATTCAGCCACAGCATTGTCATGCCATTGCATGACATACATAGACATCGAAACACACTAAGCATTTCTATAGTAAGAGAAACTTATATTCAGGATGATAACTTGGCAAATAACTATTTATTACTTTACTTTCATCACCATCTGACTATCAATTCACGCTTGAGAAGGACTCACGCAGTGATGCCAGAACATTCTTTTATAATTATTGAATACCAAACATCCTCCGCCGCGATGGACAGTAGTTTGTACAAAACTTTGCACACCAAAAATAAATATTGGATTATAACTATGAACAATGATAAAATAAAAATTTAAGTTTTAAAAATGCTATAATTCTAATAAATTTAAGAATATATATAAGTATTAAAGTCCAATTGCCTTGATATACAAAGAATGGAGACGGTTTTTGTAATAGGACGTTTTATTCATAGTAGAAGTTTTAAACTTAATGACCAGAACCTTTCCATCTGCACTTGGATAGGTTTCAGTAATTCTGCCAAGCTTCCATTTCAGGAGTGGCAGATTTCATCTTTAATTAACACTAAATCATTCACTTTTCTAAGTTCGGTTTAGCTTTTATACACTTTGGTCTTTGTTGTGATTGCGAGAGATAATCTAATGACTCCGCTGCCATAGACTTCAGAAAAGAACTTCTATTAACCTCCACCTCTCGATAACAAAATTTACCGAATCATGATTAGGTATGGAGTTTAAAGCAGCTCTTAGAATGAAATGGCCAGGCGTAAGAACCAAGTCATTTCATTCATTGGCAGAACCAGCTATTCAATGAGGGACAATTTGTGAATCAGGATAACAAAATATGTTAACATCAGAAATTCGACATAATTCCTTTAAATAATTTATTATTCTCGCTGTTATTACAGCATCCATAAGTTATCCATAAGCATCCATAAGTCAACTTCAATACAAGAAGTAGTCTCAGCATTCATATCTGCAGTATATCAAGAGTTTAGGATCATTAAAGAGACCTACACTAGGTCTTGAATTTAAACACGACCCTACATCAGTTATTAAAGTAATGAACTCTTCTTAAGTTAAAACCTGTGACAGAAATCTCTAAAACATGCATTTGCAAATATTTTTCTTTCTTTCTTCTTCCTCAGACATTAATAACCAAAATTTTTTATTGATGGAGGAAATTATTAATGAAACTCCACTGTGTAGATTACCAAACTTTCTTTTAAGATGAGCTTTCATTTGCTCCATGCTAGACTCCAAAAGGCCCTTACAATGAGGGGCTCAAGGCAGACTTAAATTCCAAATAATGCTTTCTTCTGAAAGATCATTTTTGTAATCAGCTCAGAAAAATTCGTACCTCCTAGAAGCAGATCTTCTTACGCTGCTAGGAATGATTCAGAACTCAAATCACAAACAAATAAACAAACAAACGTAACTTTTGGTTGGTTTTACATCTCTTTTTTTTTCTCATTCGTATTTGAAATGAATGTGAAAAATCATTTCTAACTTTTAAAATTATGTTCCTTCATTACGAGAGTCACGGGAAGATCAGCACGATCTGACTAGCCAAGTCTGCTCGATTACTAAAACAATTTATAGAGTTCCTCACTTTGTAAATGCTAAGTTATTGTTGAACGTGAAGAATCTTAAGAACTGTTAAGCGAATAATCGCTTGAGTTCGTGTGACAAGAAACAACAAGATGAAAGGGTAAATAACCCTTTATTATTCAAATAAGATTTAACAGAACTCCGTCTTGGAGTGTACACCGACACTTGGGCTTGAACTTAAGAGTCTAAGAAGCAAACTAAAACTAATTTAAACTAAAAAGAGATACAGCCGAAGCTATCAAGATTCTAACCGAGTTGGCCCCTTAACTCTAAATGACTGCGAAGCTATCAAGGGCCTGAGTACGCCGAGTGTAATAACAGCTTTTGAGAGAGAGTAGCCCAAAAGGCGAACGCGCGCTGATCAGAAACTCTGATTCTCTCTAAATCAGCAAGTAGAACTTTGCGGTTAAATACCGTTCTTCTGCATTATGTATTCAGACGTGATTCCAAAACTACGTTCTGGCCGGAAGTAGTAAGTTGAAGTTAAGAATTTGACAGGAAAGGAGTTTTAACTTAAAATTTAACAGTTAATAAAATTAACATAATCCTTACAAATTAACTAGAATTAACATAATCCTTACAAATTAACTAGCCAAGTCTGCACGATTCCTAAAACATGAATTTCCAAATATTTTTTCTTTCTTTCTTCTTCCTCGGACATTAATATCCAAATTTTTTTATTGATGGAGAAAATTATTAATTAAACTCCACTGTGTAGATTACTTCATAAAATTGTTTGATGATCAAGTCTGTAACATGACTTTTTCTCAGCAGTATAATTTGATGCTTTTGATTTTTAGGATGCTTAGCGTTTCTTAGTCTTCCGCTGACTCGTAAGATATTTTCGTCATCAAAAAAGTGCTTCAAAGACGAAGTTTTACTATCTGATTTCAAACTTTTACCAGATTTCAGTAATTTTATTTCTTCATCAAACGCATATTTTTGAACCAATTTCACAATTGTAGAAATAGCCTTTTCCAGTTCTTGAGCACTTGAGAAACCGGTAGCTCTTTTTAGTTGATAGCTTGGAATTATTTTTCATGAATCTTAAACATCAAACCAGTATGAACATAGTTCATGAAGAGAATTTGAATAGAAGCGCAGATTCTAGCTTATCGTACATTAATGTACATTAATGGGCAAATCACAGTTTTGCCCTTTTCTTGAAGAAAATCTTTGGAATTTATCGAAGGGACAAAAGCTGTTTGCGATAAATAGTTTTCCTTCAGTCAAGAAGCACCGTATCACAACTGCGATCTTGCAAGATATTATATATTCTGCTAACGTAAACGAAACAGCAAAAGTGTAGGAAGGATTTTTAACATAAAAGCGATACATGAATCAAAATAAATTTTACAAACTTTTTTGAGTGTGGTTTGAATGGAAAGAACAAAAGATATTTACTGCAGTCAAAACAAAACTGCAATCTTTACAATTTTGCGTAATTTCCTCTTCTTATAATTTGTACTATATTTGCTATGTAATATTTACTATGTATATAATATAATTAAGCTTCATTATTTTACAAAATAAACTTCAAATGTGAAATAAAAAATTCGAAAATATTTTATTTCATTTTTATATCAATAAATGTGTAAATTATAAATATTTATAAAATTATTAATGCTTTAAAATTATTCTAATTTAAATTAACAACTTTGATTTTATGTGCTGAAGCTTAAAAAAATTATTATCCTAGTTTCTGATGTATGTTTAGTCTGGTTAAGATGCATGTTTAATGCTGCGTTTTTTAAAAGAAAATTATTTTTCTTTATTACCTAATTATGTGTATTAAAAGAATTCTTAAAATAGTATTCCAAATATTATATTATTTTTCATGCGCAGGTGCTATGTTTCTGAATCGGCCTTTTATCACCATATTAGAGCAACTTGGAGTGAAACCACAGGTTTTCTTAGAATTGCAAAAAGATATGATGTTTGACCTCACTGAATCTTTGATCAATGACAAAAAAGCTTATAAGACACTGAAAAGATTTACATCTTTAGACTATCCTTACAATAAACTTTTTCGAGCTGGCATTTCTATATCAGAAGAGCCATTTTTTCGCTCACTTTTGCTATCTATTTATAAAACTGCGATAGGTAAGTTTTATTTCTATTATTTTTATTTATTTGTTTAGTACTGCGTTTAGCAATTGAAAAACAATTTCCTTCAAAAAGAAGGAAGGGAAATGCTTCAGTATTTTCTGAAAATGATGATTATTTGTAATACGTAGAAGTAGGTGCATTCTGTGGATCTCTTATGAATTATTAGCATTTCGGAGTCAGTTGATGTTAAAAAAACGGTGTCCGAGATATTTATTGGATTAAATACATAAGCTGATTACATTTTCTTGTTACAATTTATTAAAATGCTTACAAAATCACATAAACAAATCTTTTGCCCTTGATGCGAAACAACCTGGCCCAAAGGAGAATAACCATCATTTGTACCCGGCTTTTTAGTCTGTATTACACATGAATGTATAGACGTCGTGAACCATTTAACTTAAGATGATATACACAAGACCAGATTAAGACCTTTAGAGGCTCTAAACACTTAAAAGATTTTGGTGCCCTCGCATATGCTTACGCCAGTTTTTAGTTAATTCCCTTTATCTCTGGGTTTTGATTTAACTGCACTGTGCATTCCATGGTAGAACCAGCAATGGCAAAATTTTTCGTGCCCACTTTCTTGAATACTTAAGGATCTTTTAGTGGTGCCTCCTTTCTTTGATGCCCTAAAAGCACGTGCTTATATTGTATTATGGTTAATCCGGCTCTGGATATACAGAAAGGTTTCATTTCTAAATTTAGAAAGTCTGCTTTTACAATGATTTCCGATTAAAATGTTCCAGCAGTCGTCCATACCAACGAAATGGAATAGTACTTGGTTTTTGATTATTTCACATTTCTGACCTAAAGCTCTCAAATTAAGTTTTTCAATTTCTATTATATTAATAACATCAGCTTTTTGTCTTTTTGTTTTAATCTTGTGCGTTTATAATCCATGCTAGATAACGTATTTAAAAAGAATACACAAGTACAAAACTACACTTCTTTTGCTTCCCAGTTCTAGTAAGAACTAAGAATGATAGAAATTTTCCCTCTATCCTCAATGTGAGATCTCTGTGCCTTGGAAGTTGGTCCAGTCATCTCACCAACTTTTCTTTCCCATTGGTCTCTGTCTCTGAATGCCTTATAACTTACTGACACTGTTTTCGTTTCCCTGATGAGAACGGTATAAAGACACTGATGAAACTGCATTTTGAATTCTATGAATATGAAATATCCTTTTGATTGCACCCCAACTTGCTTTTTCCCAAAGTATTGTTTCTTAGTTCCCTGCTGAAAAGTAGTTTTCAAAAGAGAGGGATTAACTTTTCATTTTATTGTTCCCTTGTCATAAAACAATCTTTCACTGAGCACAAAGTTATCTTTGAAGCCTCAAAAGATTACTAACAAAGGGTATTTCTATTTTTTTTTATTTCCTCTCCTCTGATTTATTTTTTAAACTTATTTTCAGTGTCCTTTAAACAGAATACGTCTTAATAAGAGGTAAATGTCCATATTCAAAGGGCAGGGGCCAACAGAAATGTTCCTCAAATAGAGGTGTTCCTCAGTTGCAGGTGTTGCATACTGGAGGTCCTACTGTAGTTATGAAGACATATGAACATGGAAAGCACGTTTGTAGAAGTTGAAAAAAATTACCAACAAAAATTCATCAAAGAGTTAACCTTAATTTAAATGTGTGGTTAGGGAGTGGGAACTATGAACTATTCAATAACAAGTATTATTCTCTAAACCGTTGTTTTCTAAAAGTATTGATAAAACTCAGATTCGAATTACTTTTTTATGTAATTTCTTTTAACTTAAAACCCATAACACAAATAATATATGTTTTTAATTGCAAAAGCAATTATTAGATTTTTACTTAAAGTCTTAACTCTCATTTTTGAACTATTACTTATTTTCCATTAATAGATTTGGAAAAACCTGAAGGAAGTTTCCCTGCCGCAAGCTTAAACTCTTAAGAGACATTTATACTAATGAAATTTAAACTATAATTTGTCAGCAATATTGTTGATATGAAATGTGAAAATATTTAGCTGTCATATTACGGATTGCAAATGCAGTCTAACCTCTATTTAACGAAGTAATAGAATCCCACGAAAACTTTGGTAAATGGAGGTTATAATAAAACATGTTTTACATATTTTAACTGTGGATTGTAATTTTCATTTTAAACAATTTTTATATAACTTGAATATTGATGTCCCATAATATATTTGTAATCTTCAGGTTGAGGATACTGATCATAGCAAAACATGTTAAAGCTTAAAGCAAAACATGCTTTAAGGAGCATATTTCTGGACGGAAATTTTTAATAATCGGAATCTACACAAACCATCTTTTGAAAATAGCCACGTATTAGCTAAAAATGCTTGCAACTGTTATGCACTCAGAAGTATAAATCGAACAAAATAATACTCTTGAACTCCAATAGACTTCAGGATTAGACAGTATTTCGCCTGAAACAGTATCTTGTCACTTTCATTAGTCTTCTCATACGTATTATAGTCCTTTATCCCCCAATTCAATTACATAATTTATTTTATACTGTATATGTTATAATTACTATTACCAGTACGCAGTGCCATGTTTTTCTGTGGTATAATACATCTTCTTTTAAATATAATGTTTCCTGTATCCGTATAGTCATGTCTGCATTCACATTTATATTGTGTTTAGTGCACCGTTTTCTCATTCTACTTCAAACTTTCTTTATTTACGCTCGTCGAGTGTCTAATACAGCATCTAACATAGCTTCTTTTATTTATACTTTGCATCATCTCATTTGTCATTGATCTTTGACCTAAACTAATATACATGTAAGTAAGCTGTACTATGCAGTCTGTGTTATGTGTATGCTATGTGCCTTTAGAAGCATTATTAACATAGGCTGATTAATTGCAAAGACAGACTGATACTGATTTCTCGCAAAAAAAGCTTTCGCTCAAAGTTGATACTTATCTTTCTCATTTAATCACTCGTCCATATTGTTCCTCTTACTTTAGAGTAATTCTTCCTCAGCTTAAAAACTGATCTTCCGCGACGGTTACTTGCCTCACTGTACTTCGACTAATTTTAGAAAGACAATCCCTAGGAGCATGAATTCAGAAATGGAATTGATGGTAGAATTGCAGAGACTCAGTTCAGCTGGTAAGCATTTCTCCCCTAAACATACAGCTGCCTCTTTAGAGAAGAAATATAAATGTGCCTCTCGATTTGTAGTAACATTCTAGGGCTAGGCTTGAAAATTGGCTAGAGACGGTTCGCAAAGATGCAAAACTGTGTCATACAGAATACAACACTAATTTAATCCTTTATTTCATAACGCGGCATTTAAAAGTAAAATATCATTTCGGTGATGATAAAAATATTGACTGCTTTGCTATGACTGATGAAAAATATGTACAGTATTGAGTTATGCGCAATGATGAGTTCTTTGTTTTATCAACATTTGGTTTTCTCTGCAGGTAAACTGCAGTCGAAAACAAATATAGCAGTTCCACCTGAAAGCGGAAGGAATATGTTAGGAGTGTTAGATGAAACGAAGACACTTGAGTACGGTGAGGTTTTTGTACAATATTCTACAGAACTGGACAACACAGAATCAGAAACTGTTATTTTAGAAAGTAAGTTTATTTTTGATTCTAAGTTCTTATTTCCAAAAATATAAGCTCTCATTTTAGTACTTGATTCATAAATGATAACTAAGCAAGTTCTTGCCGTTTTTCATGTCACGTTTGATGAAGTGTTCAAAAAAAGAACACGAAGTCGCTCACGCCGGGGAAAGCAATAATAATGTAACCATTGAACTTAACTATTGCAGACAGGTTGCGCGCACACAGCTCTCACAGCGCATCCAGTATGAAGAGAAACGGAGGTATTCAAGCAGCTCGTCCTTGGTGGTTTGATGTAAGATTTTAAGACAGGTCTGTCAGCAGTCGCATAAAGTCGTCGAATATGTCACGCATTTCAAGAAGATACGAATGCAGGCGTTGGTTCCTCGAAACTCAGATCTGGAGATCTGAGCCTTTGTGATGAACCCCGAAGTTTGCGACCACAGGTCATGGATGTCGAGGCCGTGAAGGCATAAAGAACGAAAGTAGTGAAACATGTGGTGAGCTTGCAAAACACTTCCAGGTTTCTGAAAAAAAGTTAGACTTTACCTTCCCAGCATAGAGAAACAGATTGAGCAAATGGGTCGGCATCGTCGGCACATCGTCGGGCAGCCGAAACAAGGAACAATGAGTGACAGACTGTTTGTCGTGGGCGATTGCTCATGAGTGATGAAACATGAGTCTAGTATGATATTTCCCGAGAGTGTTACATTAAACATTAGTTGTCCCCATGTGAACCTGTGACTCCACATCAAGATTACTTCTGTATCGACGTAAGATCCTGCTCTGTGTCTGGTGAAATATTCACCTACAGCTACTAATACCACACGATCACTTAAAGCTTGCATTTGGAACGAGTGTAACATGCATTGCAGCGGAACGAGCCAGTGTCGATTAATCGCAAGAGTGTACTGAACGCCACTGTGCAGGCTCCTGAAACTGATCAAACGAGGTCATATTTGCAAGGAAAGCAGGGGATACACTCCAGCAACTTGGTTGAAAGATATTTGGCTCGCCAAATCTAGCGTCGACCCAATTATCACTTGTTCCAGTCCCTGGACAGCCACCTCCGTGAGAAATTCTTCTACGTTGAATTGCGATAACCTGTGGCAAACAATGCGGCAATCACTAACTTCTTTGCATCAAAAACGCTCGAGTTTTCTCGACAAGGCACTGCACACCTACAGGAAAGTTGGAAAAGAGAGATGAACATTGATGTAGATTACTTCGCGATCTAAAGCTTAGTGTTATGCGCAATGTCTGTCTGTTTCTGACGAACAAGAACGGCAAGAATTATTTTTGGTTGCCTGGTATTTTAATTTGCAACTATAATCTTGGAACAATCTCTATATTGCAAGATACATCTAGTTAGTTTAAATATCTTCAATCTGCATTACTTAAGTTAGTCCATTAACAGATAATTAAATTTTAGTCAAAGTTCTTTAACCAGTAAATATCGCCATCGGTTTCTCATTCCAGATTTATTTTTAGGCTTAACTAAAACTTGGAAACGTTTAAAATCATTAATTGGTTAAATTATAATTTATATTTAATAAACTATTAAATATTATAAAACTACTAAATATTGTCATATTTAATAAACTATTAAATATAACTTATAATTATAAGTAGTAAATATATGAAAAATCTGATAAGAAGGCATCTTGTGATAGCAATTTTTAATTTTTATTCTTAAGAAAATCAAGAAAGATATTACTATAAATTCCTTAAATCATTTACCCACAGACTACTCATCTTTAAACTAGCTTAGTCAGAGATAATAATTTGCTTTTAAACATAGCATAGGTCAAGAGCAATAGCAAACTTTTATTTGAGCAAACAATCAAACAATATGCCTGATACCTTTTTTACTTCTCTTTTATCTAATTATACACTTGAATAACTCTGGAGAAATTGGAATGAAGAAAGGAGTTCAATAGGAAAAAAGTTAATGATAGAAACAGGTTAAGTGTTTAAAACTATTATGAAATCATTACAACTTTTTACATATCATTTAAAAAAATTAAACTGTAAATACTCGCATAGGGAAGTAGGTATATAATATTAGACCTTGAAAATAAAATCTTTATAAAATTTAATAAAATGCTGTAAATACGTAATATACAGCAAAAGTTTCCGAATTCTTAATCATAGAGCATGCTAATTAACGAAATATTAACCATCATATTTCTTAACTCGCGACCTCCTACCTGTCGAACATCAAACTAGAAATAAAAAGCTTTTTTCATGAGAATTACCGTAATATTTTGTTATTTAATATATTTGTAAGAGTATAAATCTCCTTAAATGCCTCTTTATGAGTAATCATTTTTAAGCAATTATACAAATTAAAGGATAAACCTTAGTGATGAAAAGGTAAATAAAAAGCTGAATATTTTTTGCTTGGGTGGATCAGTCAGGAAAGTTTGGAAATCGCTGAGGCATCATATGAAAGCTTCAAACATTACTCGAAAAATCTTCGATTTTAAAAGGAAATTTATATTCCATACTAATATTTTTGCTTAGAAAAAAGTAATTTCTTTTTTTCACATATTGCTCAAGTCAAATTTGATATATTGTGATAATGCCATTTTATTGGATAGAATTGCTCTTTGGCATGTTGCAATTATATTCTAAACCAATGATCCAAGACGAAAATTAGACAGACGGTTTCTGCTAAATCAATTCAAAAATTGCAGTGAATAATATGTGGATGATTTTGAAACAGAAGGCCGATTTGAATAGCCTAAAAAATAAAGAAAGTTAATTGAATTTGTAATTTCATACTTCATCATCAATTCCGAAGAATGACCTTTGACAAAGACGGATGTAGTATGGCTAACTGATTTGCATTAGTAATTAAAAACAAAGGTTTTACAATTGAATATTAATACCTATCTAATTCGAAACATGTTTAAAATTGATTGATTATTGTAAAATATTTTATATTTTTAACTTTAGCTCATTTTTTCTTTTGAATTTAAATTTAACTTTAGTTAATGAGATTTAAAAAAATATTTATATTATTTTTATAGTTTCTTTTGAATTTTTACGCGTAATATTTAAAATTATTGTGTTATTTTAAGCCTTAAAAATACCTTTTCAATTCTCTGAAGTTGAAAAACTATTTTGTGTTCTTGAAATCATCCTACTGAATTCTCTTATTAAAAAATTGTGAATTGAAAAATCATCTTTAAATTGATATACTGTTTATTAACGCTAACGTTTAAATTAATTTTTCACAAAGTAAACGCTTTCAGGAAGTGTTGGAAACTCTAATTTAAACTTCCAATTTCTGATTTGGTCTTAAGTATCATTTTGTAGCACAAGAATATCAGAGGAGGTATTTTCAGTTTTTTTTCTGCATAAAGTCTAATAAAAGCAGAATTATGATACTTTACTTCGATGGTGTTATGGAATGGAATTGCACTTTGGAATGTCATTTGTTGCCCGTTTACTTGTTCTTCATCATTCGAGATATCGTCATCATTCGAAATATCTTCATTATTCGAGATATCTTCATCATTCGAGATATCTTCATCATTCGAGATATCCTCATTATTTGAGAGAATGTTTGCTTGTAAAATGTGTTCGTGAACCGTTTTTTTTTTTTTTTTTTTTTTTTTTGATCCAAGGCGTTCGTGATCCAAGATCTTACCGTATTCATAAAATTTCAACATTCTTAAAATCTACCAAACATCGTAGAAATGTGGCGCCTCATGGTACTATACTAATTCAGAAATATTGTTATTTTTCCTAAAAATTAAGACAATTGCAACAAGTTATGGTTTCATAAAATACATCATACTTGAATGAATAAGACATCTGGATATTTAGCGCTCTTAGAAACAAAAACAGGAAAAAACTTGAAGGGCAAAATGTTGTTAAAAAGTTAACAAAATCATAAAGTTGAGTAAGGAAAGCCTTGAATATGTGGAATGAATTCTCAAATCAATAAATTATATTTTCTTGACAGACATTATGGTATTAAAAATAGCTAGTTAAGTTATTTATATGGTTTGCGTGCATATTGTTTATGTGCATATTATTTATTTCTATTTTTGAGACGATTGGTATTATAATGTTTTAGGAACAGTAGTAGTGACAAAAAATCCTTGCATGCATCCAGGGGATGTCAGGAAGTTGCAAGCAGTAGATGTCCCTGCCCTACATCATATTAAGGATTGCATTGTTTTCCCAGCTAAGGGAAAAAGGCCACACCCAGATGAAATGGCAGGTATGTCAAAAGGTTTTCTTTAATTAAAATCTACAAAAGACAATATGACATGTCATAATTTAAGTAACTATCATCAGCGGTACTACTAGTCTCGATCCTTATTTTTCTCTTAGAATCACTTTTCGAATAAAAAGATATTGCCGCCAAATGTTATCGCTATATATTATTTTAAAGAAATAATATAGTGTATACGAAAAATATATTACAATACTTAATAATCTATGAAGTTTGCGTGGCGTAAGTGCGGAGAAAGAGATATCTAAAACAAAGTTAATAATAAAAAGGCGAAGGAAGTTGTGTAAATCATTTTACTAAAATAATTCAACATTGATCTGATAAATTGAGAAAAGACTGAAAAAAAGGCACTTAACACTCCATAGGAAATTCTAAATATATGTTGCTTTAAAAATGTTGTGATTTTACTGTTGAATTTTATGTGACGTAGCTGGGAAGAATCCTTTCAGATGAATCATCTTGAATCCTTTCAGATTTTATTTATTTATTTTTGTTTTTATTCTGCAAAATTCATAATATATCAATAAATTTTTAATATGTTTTATACTCTAAAAATACATAAATGAATGCAACTATTTATTTATATATAGTTCTAATGTACTTTCCAAGTTGCACTTCCTATTTACGGACTATTCCACTTTCGATTTATGGATTTAAGCTCAAAAATATTTTTCAAATTTCTTTGAGCTCTGGAATTTTTTTTTGAGGAGAGACCTTGGGTTTCGATTTTCTGCGTGTTATTTACTTATAATGTTCTCGGTGAAATTCTTCCTGCGGAATATTTTTTCACAACCGTAAATTTGTGATTTTAATCGTCTCTGAGATATGAAACTTTATTAGAGAAAAATTTCTATCATTTTTCTCAATGCTATATTTCTCAAATCTCCAACCTTTATTTACTGTATTAACCTAAATAGTTCAAGAATGAATGTAGAGAAACCAAATGAACTTGCTTGGCTTTCCTCCCATCAACCATCTTCTTCAATTTTCTACTCGGACCTTGTAAGAGACCGAACTCAGGGGGGAAGTCCTCGAATACGTAGACTTCTGTAGTAATTGATTTGCTACTACTACTGCAGAAGAATTGGTGTAACTCTTCTGTAGTAATTGATTTGCCCGGCGCCTCCACTAAACTGTCAAGAAGATCGTATAAATTAAAAGGAAAGTACTCAATTTTTCAAGTCAAGACCTTATTATTCGAACTGAATAAGTAACCGCTTATATACATTTGATGAACGAGCTGGAATAGTCTAGACTTAGAAGTTTCTAGAAAATGGAAAACATTATGCAATAAATGGGTTTTCTTTTTTATGTTGAGTACCAGCCATTTTAGGCTTGGGTACTTCTAAGGTCAGAAGCGGTATTATCTAGGTAAAATAATGAAACGGATTTAGCATAACAATATTTGTTTTTTGCTATATTAACCGAAATTATTTGCATCGAATTTCAAAAGAAAATAATAACTTTTTTAAACTTGAATTTTTTACTAGAATGAATGAATGACATTTTTGTATGTTTTCCTCTCCATTTATTCTTATGATTTATGTATTTAGGTTCCGACCTCGATGGCGATGAATACATAGTTATATGGTTAGATGATTTAGTGTTTCCAAACGATAATGTTCCTCCCATGGAATATACACCTAATAAAGAAACTATACATGAAGGTGAAATCACGGTAAGTTACCTTTAAAGTTGTTTCTTCTAGTAAAATTTGTCATGTATAATGAAACTGTTGTTAATGCACAGTAATAGCCTAGGCGTGTCATTCCAAACTCTTGATATCATTTGAAACAGGGCTTAGTAGGTACAAAATAATATCATTTGGTGTCAGTTTTATTTAGGAACCATATAAAGTTGTTAAACATGTAAATAACATTTCTTTATTCGTATTCAGTTACATGTGGCGTATCATTCTTTCTCATTCATAAGAGTCACGCTCTTCTGAATGAGAATGAGCTGGTACATCGCTAAAGGCGTGTGAAAAAGGCTCTGGCGCTCGAAGATCTTATATTTTTTACGCTATTTTAATACATGTTTTACTGATACGTACTATTAATTATTATATTTGTTTATTATTTTATCATGTGTATGTTTGTGTACTATTTTACTATATTTTACTAAAGCTCTTCATGGGTAGCCAAAGATCTTTTATGACCGAAGAAAGGGACAGAATCACTCCTGACTTAGAATAACATGTGATGCAGTTTATAAGATCAAATAGTCAAATGTATCCCTATTAAGAATATATAAAGAATTATATTTTATTTTAACTATTAAGAATATATTTTATCTTCTCGACATTTCTAAAGCTATTTTGCATAACGAAAAGAGAGGACAGTTTTATTGCTATTTCTGCAAGATAATGCACGTATACTGCCATAACATTGCTCATATCTTTAATGATTCTGTTGTTATAATAAAATCAAAACTCCCGGTGTAACATCTTCTCAGCCAATGGGCGAGATCTGGTGTGTTTTGCTTTTATGAACTACTTAACCTTGCGAATTGTCGCATGGACGTGAATATGAAATACAACAGGGAAAGGTGTAAAACACTTTTTTATTAATTACAAACTAGTTAACAGATGGCACGAACTCACGTGCTTACAACCAAATACCTTCCACTTGCGGTGAGAACTTAAACGATAATTTAGCAATAAATTTAAAGGTAAAGATGTAGTGCTAGACTTCACAATTCAGTTTAATCTAAGAGACTGATTCAGAAACCTACACCTGCGATATATTAACTAGACGGCCAGAATGTGTAGCCACTACTATGATTAACAGCTATAGAATAAAATAGCCAACGTGCTTTCTCACTAGCGAAATTACGCTCTGCCTTACATTTTTATTCCAACAGTTTTAATATTCTCGTTCGCTTACTTCATTTACATCCTGGCGAGGACATGCAAGGGGAAATAAGAGAATTAAGGATATAAGGTATTTCTCCCGCCTTCGTAGTGTAGTGGTCTGCACGCTGAGCGAGTATTCCAGATGTCCGTAATTCGATTCCTGGAGAGGGCGTTATTAATTTTTCATCACTCCTGCTTTAAAAATACCTAATGTCTCTACAGTGGGCCCGAACTAAAAGGGTGGTGGATGATGATTCTCAACACCCAGGATTTGGCGATTGGGCCCCCTAAAATCTCCAGTCACCCTTTAAAAGGGGGAGATTTTCAACATGACAGTTAAAGTATATAAGGTATTTCTCCAGCTTTCTTATAGCATGTCTTCGTAGTGTAGTGGTATTCACGCTGGGCGCGTGTTCAAGAGGTCCGTGGTTCGATTCCTGGCGAGGTCGTTGCTCATTTTTCACGTCTCCTGCTTCTAATGTCTCTACAAGGAAACGCTCGCAAATTAAAATAACTATTAGTAAAATTAAATAGGATCCTACAAGCGTTGCTCATCTAATTTGCCCTATAAACAAACCAGCGCTCTTGTGTGTCAAAGAATAATTTATTGGAACATATGATGCACAAAAATATTTTTACTTGATACTGTCTCAAAATTTTAAATTATTATCTCATCACAGATAAGGAAATCCAAGTACCTATGACTGAACAGAATGTATTTATTTTACGAATAGCATAGATGATGAATGTGATCGATGCACAGGTACCTTTTCTTGAAATGTGTTTAAAAATCGGATGTCAGAGAATGCTCGGGCATATATACAACCTGAAAAATAGACCAAATGCTATAGAAATGTCTTTCTAGCACTCCCTGTGTTCCCAGTTTATTTCCCAAATGGGCAGTTTTCTGAACTGAATTCATCTTTGAACTGGTCTGAATATTTTGCCTAAACGTTTGTGCCTGTTGTTCCCGATATATATATATAACTTAGAATTTATTTTGCTATTAACTATGCTAAAAAAAACTGAATATAAATTTCTTAAAATTTGGCATTACTCTTACTCAGATGTTGTGGGCATTTATCGTCATTCTTACGTGGCTATGCCAATCATTTATTTTGGGCATTTTCTGATTTTATGTATTATTTTATTATTATTTACTGTTGTAGTAACAGTAAATAATAAAAAAAAATTTTAATGAGTAAGTAAAGTATGTACATATAAAAATTCGTTAATTGGAAAATTCATTAATTATAAATTTTTTTTAAAACGTTTCTTTTTTCTTTCTTTTCTTATTTAGGTATCTGATATGACAGACTTTTTTTATGAATACCTCATGAATGGTGATGTTGGCATCTTAGGCAGTGCGCACTTAGCATGGGCAGACAAAGAAGGAATTTTTTCTGAAGTTTGCATGGATATTGCCAAGAAATATGCTTTAGCAGTAGACTTCGCTAAATCTGGAAGTACCTGCAGTTTGCAGCCAAATGAAAGACCTAAATATTATCCGGACTTTATGCAGAAAGGGTTTTTAAACAATAGTTATGTATCAAAAAATGCATTAGGTTTGTTGTTCAGGGTAGCACGAAATTTAGAGTCTTGCGTCAATAGAATTGATGCTTTGAATCAACCTATTTTTCCTGATTCAAGTCTAGAATATTCTGGATGGGAGATATATGAACAGAAAGCTGACAACTTCAGGAAAAAATACGCAAATCGAGTAAAAAGCATCTTAAAGAAATATGGCTTAAAAAATGAAATCGAAGTGCTTTCTGGATATATAAGTGAAACCAAGGACTCTAGCCAAAACATTTACGATGTAACAGAATTATGTAAACTTTATTTCTTGAAAAACATCAAAAGTTTACGCTTGAAATTCGACAAAATATGTCTTTTTTTATTAAAAAAATCTGGTAATTCCTTAGAAGATATTAAACATCGCATGGCATCTGCCTGGTACATGGTAACATACCGTAATTCTGATACATCTGTGCTTAGCTTTCCCTGGATCGTGAGTGACATATTATGTGAAGTACGTGAAAGAAATCTCGGAAGGTTTCCTTCAGCTCCAAAAATGTCTTTTATTAAAACGTCCGATATATACCTTCTTGAACAATTTTCTGATTTTGTACAGAAATCTTATGTCTGTTGTTGTACCAGTATATTGCAGATCACTGTAGAAAAGTGGATAAGGAAATCTTCTGAAAGCTTAGGTATAATAAAAAGTGAAAATGATTTTTGTGATCAGTTCATTCAGAGAATTTCAAGTAATTTTCAAGAAAATTCCAGGAAAAAATGTTGCTCTTTCAAAAGAAATAAATGCTCTTGTGAGAAGAAAGGTTCTTGTTCACCAATGAAGCTCATTTTAGAATTTTTAAGATTTTATGCTTCAGAAGGGACTAAATTTCTTGAAAATTCTCAGGCTTTATCACAGGAACATAAAGACTGTGATAACTTCCTTAAACTAAATCTGCAGTCTGTAGCTTTACAAACTTATGCCGCTGTAGCTGTAAGTAGAGATTATAGGTACTTAGGTTTAGTAAATGATACTTCAACAGCTTTTGAAGAAGATGGCAGTTATGAAGAAAGTTACCCCTTCAGAGTACCGGTCGATGAAATATTTCAGTCATTCATTACTCATGATGTTGATGAAGTTAAGCGTATATTAAAATCTGAGTCTGGCGTGCGAGAAATCTTTATCAAACCAGGCAAAGTTGGAAAAGGAGGATGGTTCCTCCTGGTGAATTCTGTTGGTACAGTCTGGCAGAGATGGAAGCTCGAACAACTGTTAATGGATCAGAATATAAGCACTTTCATCGGATCCACATTGCAAAACTCTTATCATCGTAATCACCTATCTAAATAAAGAGAAAAACTGATATTAAATCAGTTTTAATCACATCAGTTTTGATTTCCATAAACAGACGATTTAAAAATCTCTAAATTAAGATTTAAATCAAAATGCCTAACTCAAATTTACTTGGATTTTACGAAATCGCATAAACTATTTTATTTCAGTCTTTAAAAAAAATGTGACCTCTTAGTTAAATACGTATTTTTGGCTTTGTTTATTATTATTATATTTATTAATTATTATTATTATTACAGCAAAATTTTAATATTTTTACTTAGCTACGGAACATATAAGGTATTTCTCCTTCCTTGCCGTGTGCCTTAGCGGTGTAATCGGAAAGCACATCTTGCTAGCAATCGGAAGGTCTGGAGTTTCAGTCCCTTCAAGGACAAAGCCCGTTTTCATATCTCCTACTCCAAAATAAAACTCTTATTGCTCTACGAACATTTTCAAAAGAAACTTTGAACGAGTTTAAGAAGAGCTTTAAAAATATCGGATATTATTTGCAAAACGTAACTTTAAATCATAAAGTGACTAAAATTAATCTCAAAGAGAATATGTGCCTATTAATTCATGATATATAATATTGCGTAGTATGTTATCTAGTTTTTAACTTGACGAAATAAATAAATTAATATTAAAAGAAGCTGCTGTTTGAAAAATTCAGATTCAGTAAAATTTCTCGAAAGAAAGCCAATTCAAAAAATTAAATTCTCATTGTTGAATGACGTAAAAAATCAACACACGAGTAATTTCGATTTTAAAAACTGCATTGTTACTTTCTGAACGAAAAAAGTTTTGAAAAGAAAAATACCAATATTAAGAAAATATACCACCGTTTGAGCAAAATTAAATGTGATATATGTGTAAGTTAAAAATATGTAAAATAATATAAGTTTAATTTGCAGTAGTCGTTTAACTTGCCATTTTAATTTGGCTATTTTCCCCCTTTCTGTCCTAAAAATATTAATTTTTTATGATAAATCACTCAAAACTGTGTCATTCCAAAATTAAAAGCTGCCACACGATTGTTACGTAAAGTTCATGACACAGATAACTTACATATGGCTTTAACTAAGAATGGCTTTAGAAGATTAAATATTAACTAACTAAGAAAAACGAAACTAACTTATGGTGAAGGTAAATTCAGATTGCTTTGAACTCATCTTTCATCTTAAAACACGTCACATTTGCTTTTCGGCTTCCGTCCTCCCCACTTGCTACTTCTCCTTTCTTAATGAAATGTAAAAGTTTTAGGACAGCCGCACGGGTTGTGCCACTTAATCTGTGTTGGCTAAAAATGTTTGACAACAAGAACATATGTATATATAAAGAAGCATGCAATCTTTCTTTCTGCAGAACTTCAACATAACGATTAGGTTTTATTTTAAAGACAACAAATTTAGAAATTTTGCTATCGATATATTTTTATCTTACACATATATCAGTATAGGTTGCTAGAAAGTTATTATGTTTGTGATACTCATAGGATTAAAACAACAGTAGCTTCAGAATATTTTTGAGGAAATTATACAATTTTTTAAATGATTATTTAGCACTATTCAACAATTCACTTTTATGATATTGAAGACTGTAGAGTCTAGAGGCCTTTTGGAACAAAAAAAGTAAATTGTCAGCAGCGCGCTCTCCAAGAATAGAACCATAGGTCTTTCAGTTACAATTAGACGTGTTAAATATTTTGCCGCAAAAGTATATATTGTAAGAATGTTAGGTTAGCTTAGGTTAATTGATTAAGGCAAAGCAACTCGAGGGCTATCTGCCTATGGGGTGGGATGCCTTGGTGAGGACTTTTTAAGGGAAACTGGCTCGTATCCAGGTTACATGTGGCGAAAACCACGGAAACGAACCACGCAGCCAACCCCCTTTCACCGGGATTCGAACCCAGGTCGAACTACCAGGGTTCAGCGGCGTTACATGTTTTGACCAAAACTCAGGAACAGAATTTCCAAAATTCTCTTCCTCGAGAGACAAGTAAAATGCATGTTTACCTAAAAACTGTGAAACTTATCAATCAGAATTAAAAAAAGTAGATCTGAATGTAAAGCATGATATAACACTGAAGAATGATGGAATATGTTCAGCAGTATATCATGCGTAGAATCACAGAGGCTTATGTCAAATGGTTTAACTAAACACCTAACTAGAATAAAAAATACTTTCAACTAATATATGCCTTATTTGTATGTGGTGGTGAAAACTATGATCACGTTCTGATGTGTCCATTGTGGATGATGCTTTCAGGAAAGAATTGTATTCGCCAGTTCTTTAATGGCCTAATTCGGAAGTTTTCAGACTTTTTAGCTTTTGTTTATAACTTGGTATCAGTATTCTGTTTGTTCCTTATTATTTGTTACATTATATAAATCTTGATGTGTTGTCATAATGTAATGTATTTATTTCTAATAAAGCTATATGTAGCAGCAATGTTCCTTTACTTTGAATGTAATCTGCAGGAATAACAATAGAATATAAATATCTCTCACTAATGCTCTGTAAAATACCTCGTTAGATGACACATGTTTCATTTACATATTAAAAAATGCTCCGTAACAGGATTTTTATTTAGTACACTTCTTTCTTATGTCGACACCTGTTTGATATATTCTAAAATTACACATATGTTCATATTTTTCTTCGGGAATTTGTCCTTGAAAGGAAACACTTTTTGACAACATTCATTGCTAACAAAACAAATTTTGATTTTATGCACTTCATGCAGTATATTAAGATTTGGCTTCTTAATTAGAAAATAAAGTGCCTGTTCTTAATTAGAAAATAAAGTGCAAAAACGCATCTACGAAAATCATTCAGAAAACAATGCGAAATTCGACTTATGCATTCATTATATTAGTTAATACAAATAGTTGGAATTTCACATGTTATTAGAATGTTTATCTATACAAGCGCGAAATAAACCTATTTTCATTAGAAGTAAATAATGGATACGATTTACAAAAAATATGATGTTAATTGATTTCATAATAAATAAAGGATGCATACTGTCCACATTAACAAAGGCTGTAGAATGATTACGGAGACGATATCTTTGGCAAAAAGAATATGCGCAAATGGATGAAGAAATTTAAAGTAAAAAAACTCAGCACTTGAAACAAATCACATAGTGGAAAGCCACCAAGTGCTCATGTGAATTTTTCTAAAATGGATTTTAAATGTTGGATTGAAAGACGGCATAAATATTTGTAATGAAAACTATGTTCGGTAAAATCGCTCCTATGTTGAATAGGAGCGATTTTACCGACACGTGAATTCTGGAGATTTTTGTCAGTAAAAAAAAAAAATGCTAAAATAATACAGTATAATGCCTTAAAAAGCTCAAATTGGAAGTATTTCTCCCCATGTCACACGCATGCTTTGCTGTGAAAAACATCCATCTGTTTAATTAGTTTGCTGCCTGCCGAGTTAATTGTCACTGTACGCTTAGTCGATTTACACCGAAAAAAATTAATTATCACTGTTAAATTTCATAATGCAGTAAGATGATTTTTTGTTAGTGGTATTTAAAAATAGCATCTAAAATTAAATAAAGCTCATATATAGGTCAGAAAATAGAAGAATTAAGCTAACTTAAGAGCCAGTTTGAAATTACGAATGAAATTATGAAATTATGAAAGTAGTTAAAACTTAAATGAAAGTCATATACATGGTGTGAAAATACATGCAGAATAAGTTGGAAACTAAAAAAAATTAAAAAATAGAAAAGAAGTTAAAATTTACTTCTAAAATTAAATAAAAGTTAGGTATAGGGTAGAAAAATGCAATAAACAAGTTTAAAATTAGAGTACTTTAAAAATTATGAGGGCTTAAAACGTAGGAAACAAGTTAAAAATACCATCTAAAACTACATAAAGTTCATGTATCTGGTCAGAAAATATATGAATTAAGCTAAAATTTAAAGTATGTTTGAAATTACGAAGGTCTGAATGTATAAAAGTAGCTATAAATTAAATGAAAATCATGTACATAATGTGAAAATATAGCAAATTAGTTAAAATTCAGAGCATATTGGAAACTAAAAACGTTAAAATGTAGAAAAGAGTTTAAAATTTGCATCTAAAATTAAATAAAAGTCCGGTATATGATCTGAAAATTATGAATTACGTTAAAATTAGGACTATGTTGGAAATTATGAAGTTTAAAATGTGCAACAGGAGCTAAAAATGTTACATCTAAAATCAAGTAAAGGTCATCTATACGATCAGAAAATACTTGAATTAAGTTAAAATACAGAATGTGTTGAAGATCACTAATGTTAAAAAGAGTTAAAAATTACATCTAACCTTGAATAATATATACAAAATGCGTATTTTAGTAATTACACTCGTAAAATATAACAAATAAGTTATATCCCATCAGACCAGTGGTCAAAAGATTTTTTTTTTTTTTTTTTTGGCCAATCGCAGATGGTATACAAATGTAACCCAGTCCATTAATCTATACAATGGCCGGATGAGATGGTCTCTTTATTAAGGAGACACCTAATGGGTGGGCCACCATCGCCTTTCCTATATGAAGGAACGGACAGTTACAGCCTTGCCTTCTCCGAGATTCAAACCCAAGCCCTTCGGCATCGCAGTCAACTTCCCTGACCACCATACGGACTGGGCGGCGTGGTCAAAAGATTAAACTACTGATTTCATGAGATATTTTCATTCCGGGTTCAAATCTCGGTCTCGAAAACGAAATATCCGATATTCATTTATTCAAACTAAAACATTAGTAGTACCGAAGACCGTAAAATTAAAGCAGTATAGCTTAAAATTATAGCAATAAGTATTAATATGACTAATATTAAAAAAATGATTATATATGTGTGTGTAAAAAGTATGATGATGAAATTTATTTTTTACAATATTTTTAACAGTAATTTCTTTGCAGAAAAGGATAGTGCCGCGTCGTAATAGTAACCCACGGTTGCCGTTACTACGGTTGCCACTCGCTCAAACCTAAACTTTTAATGTTGCCTAATCCAATTACATAGCAGCAGCATACGAACTCCTCCACAATCTCTACCCTTTCCAGTGTTACCCATGGAGGTAGGAATATAAAATTATGCATGTTAAAATATTTGTAATTAGGCACATAGGTCAGATTAAGTTTTTATTAAATAGAGTAACGCATGCAAGGGCTATCTGCCTAAAGAGAGAGATGCCATCGTGGAGGCATTTTGAAGAAAATTTGACCTTTGAGTGGGTATTAAAATAATACTTATAATTTTCATTCAAATTATATTCATATATATTTTTTATGTAAAATTTTCGGGTGTATGCTAAATTAGTATAAATTACTTTACACGAAAAATATAGTGAATGCACAGAAATTAAAGATTTGCACATGCCGGAAATGAAAAATAGGAAATATGTATGGGTATTTATGCATGTGCTTGCAAAAAGCATGTATCTGCCTTTGACAAAATACTTAAATATTCATTAAATTATTTATAAATGTATTTGAAATGAAGAATTTATTCACTTATAAACAACTGTGAAAGTACTGTGAAGAAATCTAATTATCAAATGTATCTAATTTATAATGATTACAAATGTTATCTAAATATATAATAACCTTAATATTGAATTGTAAAAATAAATTGAAATCCGGTTGACAAATACGTCATAAAACTATTTAAGCAAGAATTGTTCGTATTTGGAAAGCGATCTGTTAAAAGGTATTGTAAAGCAAATGCTATGAGATGCGCACTTAAGAACGTAATAAAGAGTTTTGGAATATGTATTGTTGAAATGAAGGGTAAAAAAAAAAATCTGATAAGTATAATTAAAAGAATTATTCCCCTTACATTTTATAATAACTCAGTTACAAGTTTTAAATAATACTTAAAAAAAAAAAAAAAAACTTATTTTATTCCCTTTCAGAAATGTTCAGAGAAAGTCAAGTACTATTTAATACCTATTTAATTATTAGGAATTAGCGAAATACTTATTTAAAGTATTTCGCTAATTCCTAATAATTCTCTAATTTAAAATGAACCGAATAGAGCATTAATTATAAATTGACTTACATTTATCGATTTAAAAGATGCCTCAGAAGGCAAAAAATCATGTCATATTTAAGAAAGTATTTTAGGAAGAAGCTCTATAAATAGAAAAAGAAATAATGCATAATTTTAATATTAATAATACAATAAACTTTGATCTTAATTTTTGTACCTTAACCGAATAAAATCGAATTACCTTAATTTTTTTTTCTAATGTAATTAACGAAAACTTGTGAAAATATTTCATTCAAATTAAACCATTCTGAGAAAACTGTCCTGTGAAAAGTATAGCATTTAATTCCGTTCAGAATGAAATGTTGTTTAGTGTTGTAGAATGGTTCTTAAGTGTTGTAGAGAAAAAGAAAATATATACATTTATATGTATATTTACGACGTAATTACAAAATACTTACATCCGAACGTGTCAAATTCCATAGAACTCAATGGTAAATGACCCAATGTTTTGGTCACCACGTAGGGATCGCCGGTGCTTCAGAGCAGGGTACGGGAGAAACTTGTTTAGGGCGACTCCATCTTACTTCCTACCTCCATGGTGTTACCATGCATGACGTAGCTTCGCTCCCGCTAACGTCACTGGCCCCGCCCACACCTCACTCCCCGCATGTCGCTGAACTCTTTCTATCTACTGATCATCCTGCATAATTGCATAATGATTAAAACCTATGTTTATTTCTGTTTACAGAAACGCTGGTAGTCTTAGGGAGATGCCAGTGTTTCTGAGAGGGTTCATAGCAATTATATATTATTTCTAAAAAAAAAAAAAAAAAAAATCCGCGTTTGAATTTTCTGGGTATAATTTTAAATTTGAATCTTCCAATCACTAATGTAAAAAGAACTAGTTCTCATTAATATTTCCCTGCCGAACTAACATTAGTGCCTTGCGGTATAGTCGCTGAACACTAGTATTTCGACACGGCGAACCAGCTGGCTGCATGGGATTTAATAATTTTCCTAATGTATAACGTAGATATTAACCAGTTTCTGAGAAAGAACTTCACGAAAGCGTTCCTTCTTTTAAGCAGAATACTCCTAGTGTGCTTTTGCATAATCTAATTAATCCAAACCCCTTCTGAAATATTACGTAACTGGCTTTCGTCATAAGTAACAAATCCACATCCAAATAATTGAATGGACGGTGTACATGAAAATGTTAACGGCATTTTAAGAATAAACGAAAACACTTTATAATAAATAATTTTCACTAAAAAGAATATCAGATTAACAAATGTAAACGAAAATAATTTGGCAATTAATTTTAAAAAATTTATAGTGGTAATTCCATGCAATTACTTATCTTCCTTTCTCTAAACATTTTTAGAATATTATTTTTCATGAAAAATTGTAAGTAAAACTTTATGAAAAAAGAACAGTTTATTTATGACATTTATTA